CATACTTTGAGTGTAATCTTTAAAAAGAATAAATGGAATGAAGACCATTTCATATGAAAATATTGTGATATAGTATTAAAAACAGTGATCGAACTCAAAAGTTCATTAAAACAATACAAATTTGGAGCAGAGCAAACACTGACCTCTAAAACATCAGAGGTGGGATCAGGTGCCATGTGGGCTGGTCAGACCCGTGTGTGCTCCTTGTCATGATAGGGTAAACGAAAAAATCCGTAGACAATTCAAATTTCAAAAATGTGAAAATAATAGTCCGACAATTGTCATGAAAAACGTTAGTCAACATTGTATTTATTGACAAGGTCTTTGTATCGACAATGGAATTTGCGAAATGTTGACTTTAAATGCGACTGTTGATATCCTTATTTCATCAACTTATTTGTCAATAGTTTGCCTCATTCAGAAAATGTTCGAACGTAGAGCATGCTCTTGAGTATCGAATCAACTACAAGACATAAACTCCATATGCAGTTGATTATATTATATTGTGACATGAACAAGGAAAGTTGACGATAGAAAAGTTGAAGTTATCACGTTTATCATATTGTTTTTTGTAAAGTTACCATTACAATTTCATAAACAAATAATCTAATCTTGTGAGACTGCTGCAAATTGTTGAGATGTTGCATAAATTAACGTTAATGAAAAATGAAATTTAAAAGTTTTGTCATAATTAAGATTTCATTTTTCACTTTCTTGTTTGTCACACAATAGGCATGTAGGTATTGTTCGCCTTGATCGCCAATCTTTTTTTTTTTTTTTTTTTTTTTTTTGAATTATTTATTTATTTATCTATATATTTATTTTATAATTTTACAACTTTATTGTTTATAATCAGCTTTAATTTGGTATTTATTTTTTCACAATACTTTAACTTTCTATCTACATGCATTTTTTGTCAACACTTAGGAATTACATTACCCGCCGTCTGTCTGTTTGTCCTTCCGTCTGTCACACCTTATTCCTTGAGAAGTGAAAGGGGTGTGGGTTTAATATTTTGCACATAAATGTATATGGCTTTTGTAAAATACCGACCCACCATATGATCTTTCAACTTGACCTTTGACGAAATTTTCAAAATGGTTCACAGAGTCGATAGATATAGTTTATTATTATTATTATTATTATTATTATTATTATTTTTACATTTAAGAGGCGAATCTGTGCTATATAGCATGTGCAGTGTTTGTCATAAGATATAATTGAAATTATCCGGTGTGGCAGTCCACTTAAAATCACATTCTTCGTTAAAATACTTCGAACGAGTAATATAAATTTTGAAAGGCAGATTTTCGATATCTAGCATAATCATATAACATAATTTATGCTTATGAGCTTATGATACTGTACTTTAAAACTGTATAATATAAAGTTACCACACAATCTGAAGTTAAATACTATGAAAATACCTCGGGATCATTTTACCAACATGGGTCGCAATATAGTTGTAGAATGACAATTGACGTGAAGACAGACTGAATCTTTCTCTAGCTAGGCACGAATCTGGGAGATTACTAGAGATGTTTAGAGTAGATGAGTAGAGTAGATGTTTCTACATGTATGTAGAAAATGATACACAAAAAATATATATTTAAAATAATTTCAGTTTGTTTTTTTATTTATTTTAGCATTCGGGGTTGGAGAATCATATTTTTATTTGAATGTCGCATTTCAAATTTTAATAGTATCCGTGGATTTTTTTTAGCATGAACTATAGCACTAGTATCACACAAATATCTGACAACTCTTAGATTTATTTACATCTTTACTGATGCGTTACTTGGAACGCTTTAATTAAGATTTGGTTAATCAGTAATGTTGAAGGTTTTTCGAGATCACTGCCAATTGTATAGAGATACGAGGGTTTTCCCAAAAAGTCGTAAACAGGGAAAATGAATTTCAAGTACAATATCCAGTGTATTTAAAATGTGTCTCTTAAGCTTCTCGTTATTTATTTCAAGTGGAAAACCACTGTTGACTGAAAGAAAATTCATATTTCGAGATCGTTATTTCTAAAAGGGGGATGGGTGTCAATGGAAAACATCGCCGTTGAAATTTTTATACATGTATATGGCGATCGACGTATAGAAACAGGGACTTGTACCATAGGACTGGCGGTAAATTTAGATTTTGATGTTGCTGTGGTGTATTTGCCAGAAGAATCACAGTATTTTTTTAAGTCATGCCCACCTTTTGGCATCAAGCCATACTTTGACAAGACCTTGACTGATGAATGAATGATGTCAATTTCCAGACCTAGCTGATGAATGAATTAAGTCAACATTTTTAATTTTAAAAAATACTAACATTAGCTTGTCGATGTTCGCTTCTTAAATGTTTCTGTATGTTTTCTCCGCGTATCCTTAATCAGTAAATGATACGTCCTACCTCGAGTTCTCGTCATTATCTTTCCCGTCTCCAAATACAAATAGAAATATCACATCAGAAGTCCCCGCGTTTTTTTTACTTCCAATACCGTTTCAAACTTTCATTAAAATGTCACAAATCATTTCATTTTTTTTCTGTACGCCGATTGCCATATAGAGAAAGTTCAATGGCGATGTTTCCCATACCCATCCCCCCTTTTTCAAAAAAAAAAAAAAAAAAAAAAAACAAAAAAAAAAACAATGATCTAGAAAGATAAATTTTCTTTCAGAGTTCACGGCTTGAATATAAAAGCCTACAATCGCTACCCCTGTACCTGTACCTGACAAAAATCATGTTTTCTGCGTCTTCAATATTCCAAAGGTACAATATCTTCATACGTACCAATTCCGAATTTTTTATCAACAATTTGCAGTAGCAGTGACGCAGCTAAGTATGATCCTTGCAGATGGAGACAGCTATTTATACAGACTCCGGACCGTGGCTTGACACCTCGTAGTAGGCGGTGCTAATTATCAACATGCTTTTCTCTCATTGGTCCTCTGGTACAAGTAACTTACACATTAAATATTATTTGGTTAGCGGTAAATACACTCACACTCCGCACCTCGTGAATGAAAAACTGTGAGTGTATTTACCGCTAACCAATTAATATCTATAGTGTAACTATAACAAATATACTGTCTAGTATATAAGTCCCTGATAGACAGTATGAAATGATTTCTGACATTTTAATGAAAGTATGAAATGCTATATGAAGTAAGAAAAATGCAGGGACTTCTGATGTTAAATCGCTACATGTACTTGGAGAAAGAAAAGAGAATGACGAGAATTCGAGATAGAACGTATCATTTACTAAATATGGAAACGCTTAGAAAAATTACGGAAAAAATTACAAGGCGAATTTTGGCAAGTTAATGTTAGTTTTTTTTAAATTAAAAATGTTGACTTCATTCATTCATCAGCTACATGTATTGCCAAGGTCTGGAAATTAACATCGTTCATTCATCAGTCAAAGTCTTGTCACAGTATGGCTTGATGCCAAAAAGTGGGCGTGACTTCAAAAACTGTGATTCCTCTGGCAAATACACCACAGCAACATCAAAGCAAAATCTATGTTTCCGCCAGTCCTATGGTACAATTTAAAATGTGATATCTTTCTGTGTCGCCTGGAGCAAAGCGACAGTTAGGGATCACTTTACCCTGCATCTGTCCGTCTCTCTGTCACACCTTTTCTCTTGAAAACTGTAACAGTGTCGATTTAATATTTTGCACATATATAGCTTGGCACTATGTCTTTTGTAAAATGCCAAGGTTGCCCACTTTTGACCTATGAACTTGATCTTTAAATTTCTTTTCAAAATGGTTCAAAAAGCCGATATGCAGTTTAATATTATAATTATTTTTTACATTTTAGAGGTAAGTAACTATGTGCTAATTGAACTGTACACAGTTTGTCATAAGATATTATAAAAAAAAATGTGTAACAGTCCACTTGACCTCTGACCTCCTTTTCAATAATCCTTCGAACGGTAATTCAAAACTTATCTTTTGAATTTTGAGAGACAGATTTTCGATACATGTATATAACACATTTTTGTGAGCTCACGATGCTGTCCTAGAAAATTGTATAACAAACAGTTACTACACAAACTGAATATTTATTACAACTTCATTAAATCGGGATCGGTAAAGCAAAATAATCGCACTTCAGTTAAAGCTGTAGACTGACAATTGCAGTACTTTCTTTAATCATGAATGAAATATGGGGATAACAAACAGCAATCAAGCTCAAAAGTCCATAAAAACAATACAAATCTACAAATGCGGTGGGATCAGGTGCCATGGAGGAGAAAGCATCCCCTGTTAAAGCTGTAGACTGACAATTGCAGTACTTTCTTTAATCATGAATGAAATATGGGGATAACAAACAGCAATCAAGCTCAAAAGTCCATAAAAACAATACAAATCTTGAGCTGAGCAAAGGTGTATCTCTAAAAAAAACATATGCGGTGGGATCAGGTGCCATGGAGGAGTAAGCATCCCCTGTTAACCTGGGTGACTGTTGGTAATTACTTCGAAAAAAAATCAATTTCATTATTCCTTTAATTATATAAGCTTTGAGGGTTGGGGAACAATTTTTATTCAATTGCCACACTTTATGAAAATTGCAATTGTATCCAAGTTTTTCTTAGCAGGCAAATGCATGAATTATATTTCTTTAATTTATTTCCATCTTTAAGATAGTCCGAAATATCTGACGTTTTCCAGACTTTTTTTTCAAGATTTTGATATTTTACATGCCAAGAAAACGTCGGAACCGGCGCCATTATGAAAACTAGAAATTGGAGGCGGCATTCTCAGGTTGATTTTCGATACTTGCGAACCGAATTGAATCTCAAACTCAAAACTTATCAACAGTACAATACTTTTAGTACTCACAAACATCGTTTTTATGGAATGTTTATAAAATATACAGTCTGGTGTATCATTTTATCAGACTGTCGAGGTCTGTTTTCATTTTGTTCATTTTAAAATCTTGCAAGACCTGATTCGAAATGTGGAGTGATATTTTCTTTCCATCGATATTAGTGAGTACTAGAAGCATTTTGCTATTGATAAGATGTGAGTTCGGCAATTAATTTGGTTCGCAAGTATCGAAATCAGCTCCGGTTGGGGACGGCAAAATTTCCAGTTTTCATAACGGCGCCCGGGTTCTGACGTTTTCCTGGCACGTATAAATACAAAAATCGTAAAAAGGCCTGGAAAACTCAGATATTTCGGACTACTTTAATGATGCCATAAAGCAGGCGACACATGCTGCGTTCCTTGGAACACTCTAGTTTATATCTAAGCTTTATACTATCTAGAGTAAGCAGTCGAGAATCTCATTGAAATACCGGGTAATATGAGGAATGTATATGAAAAGAACCTTCACATAATACAAATCACTTCATGAAATATATTTCACAAAAAAAGTTTGGGAGTAATAAAGCAGTCAATTACGGCATCACAAATCATGGTGTTTCTTTACAAACTCCTTCGCTCCAAACTTGTAATGCTTTGACATATCTGGTGCATATTTACTGGCAGGCGGCCGTCTGTTGTATTCCTCCGCCACTACTCGAGTGTAATGTGAAGCGTTTCCGCAACACAGACCCACGTACTGCACACCAATTTCTCTAGCCTGCTTTGCAAACTCTGCAATCTGTGTTATGCTGCAGAAAAATCGCGGGAGGTCAACGGGAAATGCAGACTTGCCTGAAATATACCATGAAAATATAATTGTGAATTTTGTCACATTATATAGTTATATTACGATGAAGCATTCCACAATGGTAGTTTTGCATTTGCTTTCAAATACACCATGTATTTGTTATTTGTCCAAACATTTCAATTTAAATGCATCTATTGATTGGACGTGCTTAATACCACTTCTATACTTTACACCCAAACAATATAATTTGCTTTTACAAAAGGCAATGTAATAGAATTACCTGTATCAGGATCAACCAAAGTCTCGTAGGTGGGTTCCTCAGGGGTCGTTCGATACGGAACTGGGAGTGCAGCAATAGGTCCCTGAAAATAAGGGTGGCGTAAAAAAGTCAAATCCTATAGATATACATATGTATATGTTACATGTAGTTAAGTCTCAAATGTGGGATCATATCACAATTTTCAAGATAATCCATTTTCTCCATTTTTTTAACACAGCATGCTATAACAATTTGTAAAGTATCTCTACCATGACACCTGATTGAAAATTGAAATACACTCTACAATTACTTAAACATTGAAATAAATTTGAACTAGGAGATATTGTGAGCAAGCTCACGAAATTATAACCCCCGTGCAATTTTTAAAGGTTATGACATACACTTAGCTCACAAGTAATCTTTGTTTGAAATTTTGATTTCCAATACTTATTTATCACAGAGTTATGAACTAGGCACAAATTGTATACTTTTTTCTGCTAGTGACCTTGAACTTGCGTGAATGATCTTTGGCTACGGTCATGTTTCTGAAAGTGTCATGACCTTAGGTCAAGGTCATGACACACTCTTGGGACATGGGTAATTTTTTTTACCAAAAAAGCTTCCAATGTTTCTTCATTACAAAGTTATTATGACCTGGAAACAATTGAATCGACATGACGGACAGCTAGACAGAAGACGGACAGCTAGACAAACGGACAGACAGCTAGACAGACAAGGTGAATTCTATTTACGCCTCAAACTTCCTTTGCGGGGGTTATAAAAAGATAATGATTTTTCCAAATACCATTGTTTTTAACATATCAAAATGCTACTTTGGAAATATTTAAATCAAAATACTAAAAAGTGTAAATAATTATTTTGATGAAAATAATCATTGTGCACTAAATGCTTATTAATGACAGTTACAAAACAATTTTCTCCAATGTCTTTGTCAAACTTAAAGTCCCAAATGCAACGGATCTAAATCCATAGATTTTTAAGGACTGTGCAAACATATCATTTCAACGGTATGAAAATATCTTTATCTCAATCATCCAAACAAAATCCTGGTAATGTATTGATAATTCAGTGATAAGTACTCTCTGTATACCTGGCATCTGATCGTCAAGAAACAAAGGTACTTGAAATGTTTATAATGAGAAACGTAGTAATGTAATCTTATCATGTCCTATTGTCGGATAAAGGGCAGTAAGTTTGTTAATCAACCCAACTGTTGCAATTTTTCCCCATTAAATGTCATTAATAATGAACTGTTTTGTCGTCGTAATATCTTCAGAAAATTATACTATTATTCTTCAATACTAGTCTGTGAATGATTTAAGCTGAACCAAATTGATTTACATAATGTGAAGAAACTGTATCTGTAACTGCAGACGTATTCCTGAAGTCACCACATGCATCTACGTGTATGAATCTTATTTGAATGTCATGCAGCATCCTTATGAGATATTCTCTAGAACAAAACCCATCATTCTTACATTCAAGATGTTTATGCTACAGTACTCAGCTACAAAATGTTGGCTCAGAAAGAAAAATACATTCGCAAATTCCAGTCACGATGACCTTTTAAAATTCCTCCTGAATTAGATATAGTATATTATAGCCAAAGCATTGTTGTCAAGAATAAGTATCATTTTTTCTTTTGAATGAGGCTACATTTCTGATAATACTGTTCACATCCCAATTACTTTTATCTTAGATTTGACTTTTCCTATTGTATAGACAGGTTTATTCAAGTATTGGACTTGTTGGAGGATATTTTCTTTAAATTTGAAGATATTAATAATTTAATGCATAAATATGAGCAAGAGACAAAAACATGATTCAGATACAGACACAATTTTTACGCACTCCCCTGGAAAAAATAGGTCAGATCCAGCATCTGGTGCAAGTCAGGTAGTATACGGATGCATCGGCCATGCATGTTTGTTAGGCATCATCTTAACATGTTTGTTCAACACATAAGGCTTATCGTTACTTGGGAATAGACTTGGTTTTAAAACTTAACACTGGTCATTTTACTGGAAAATGTAGGTCAGAACCAGCATCTGAAGCAAGTCTGGTAGTGTTCATCACTAGAAGCATCATCAATGCAAGTTTGGTCAACTTGTAAATGGACTTGCACAAAAAACCTAAGCCTGGTCACTCATCTGGAAAATATCTGTCAGATCCACCATCCAAAGCAAGTCCGGTAGTAATTACGCCCAAAGATGTATATTCCATGCAAGTTTGTTTAAGAAGTACTACATGTAACAGTTACTTGGGAATTCGGGCATGCTCCTAAAACTTTGACTAAGATGCCAATGCTAGCCCCGAAACCGACGCCGGGGTATAGCATAAACTCAGAAATCTGGACAACATATCTGTGCCTATATTTTAACGTTGATATTCCTCATTACCTTGCATACTTTCCGAATTTCTCTTAGCAGAGGAAGCATTGTGGTTGGACCTCTACAACAATTAAGGCCCACCACTTCTGCACCTGCCTCCTCTAAAAGTTTACAGGCCTCCGGAAAAGAAAGACCATCTTTTGTTTCGTCTTTTTCATGCGGTGCCAATGTCACCACTGCTGGCACTATAAATGATAAATATATAATGATAATATATTAAAAAATGAACTTGGATATAACTGTCAGTCAGTGACTTTCAACATAATGAACATGTATGATAAATTATATTAAAATATAAATATTTTAAACTTCAAAGTGAAATTACTGCAATATACATTTATTGAATGATAGAGATGGAAATGTGAAGATTAATTCAAGCAAGCAAAACCATATTCCCCGAGGGTTTCCCCCTCGGGGAATATGATCTTCATACTTCCTCGGCATTCATCCAATATACCAAAACAAGCCAAATCTTTAAAAAAATAAACAAAAAATTTCAAGTTCGGCACCGCTCTTAAATTCGCTTTCAGTTCTAAAACGTCACTGACACACTTTACTGAAGACCCTTGAACACTTCATAGACAATTGTCTTCGATTTCTTTGTTTTCCTTTCAGCATCCCAGTTGGAAAGTTTCCTCATCGCTTGTTAGATGAAACCTTTTCTACTATAATAATTGTATATTTTGCAGTTAGAAGTTTTCGTTCAAAGAACGATAATTATTGCAGGAAAATGCATGATCGAGGTCTCCCAAGAGGTTGAACATGATGTAAAGCATGACGGTGGCAGGGAAATATGAAAATTTATAGCTATGTCACATGACTTTCTAGAACTAATCAGATCATCTGTTGTATAGAATAATAAGATTATTAGAAAGAGGTATGATATTTGACAATATGATCTATCCCTATCGGCTCTCATATTTTCTTACAGCCATTTCCATATTCTTTGATACAGTCAAGTGCCAACCTGGCCTCGGCAAACTCATGGAATCGCTCTGCAATCATGTAATCTGCCCCACATTGTACAGCCCATTGTATTTGTTCCTAGAAAAGTAAATAAAAAAGAGAGTAACAAATTACCCATACTAATTATATAACTTTGTGATATAATTTTTTTTATTTCAACTTACCCGAAATATCTCCCTAACCTCCTCTACGGAATTTGGATCGTCCCTGCGAAACACAGTGGTGTTACAGATATCCCCTGCCATCAAGGTGCCAGTTTTGACTGCCACTTCTTTGGCCATCCTCAGGGCACGTAAGTTAAGTTCCATCAGGTCATCCTCACGACCGATGACTTTGAGCTTCGCACGATGACCATAATACTGTTAATCGTACAACAATAGATCTGACAGATGAATTTAATGATAAACATTAACTATGTAATACGCTGCTTACATGTATCAATACTAATAAGTATGATTACTAAAGTTTAAAAACAAATGACACAATGCATACAAAATCATTTGGTAAATTATATTTAATTACACATTGATTTAACTGTATTTAAGAAATGTAAATGCTCACTCCAATATTAATATAAAAATTGGCAAAGTTTGTACCACTGTAGTGCAGATAATTGTAATTTTGATGGAGGCTATACATTTCATAGCATACAAATATATATATGATATCGAAGTTAATCAGAAAGAGTCAGGGATATGAGGGGGCGTTTTGGTATCACATATTCAAAAGGGTGATATCACACATTTAAATTTGTGACATCAGTCACATCACTCATTTGAATAGGGGATATCACTATTTGATTTGAAATGATGATTTCACCTATATCACCTAGGTGATATTACCTATTCAAATCATATAGGTGATATCACATATTCGAATAGATGACATCACCTATTTGAAAAGGTGATATCACTTAGTCATTTTGAATAGGTGATATAACATTTTCAAACTTTGCATGAAATAACAAGTGCTCCCAAGACTTTATTTGTACTGCATACATTTCCTCTATACACACGATGCGGGAAAAACATTTCACATGAATAATAATAATAATAATAAAGAGAAGGAATCGATACATATTGCAAAACTGAATGTAATTAAAATATGCATAACTTCACATGTCTCGCACTATAACAAGGGGAAGAGGGCAGCCCAAATTTGCTTAGGCTCAATATAACTCTAGTTTTTCGTATGTAAAATCGAGCTGTTTTATGAACCATTTAAGTTTTGTGTACATATAACACAAGAACAGCCCCCCCCCCCCCCTCCCCATCCCCCGCCTCTAGCCAAAAAAGAGATCTTAGCAAATCTTCAGTTTATTTGATCAATAAATGCTGAAATGGTAGAATGTGCTCAAATTAAGTTTAACAAGTTCAGAAAATGTTTCATTTTTTTATTGTAAGAGTAATTATATATGAAATCAATATCATTATTTTTTAACCAATGTAAAGAAAATAAAATTGTTCTTCGAAAGCCTATTAAAAGTTCTTTCTTTATTTTGCATTGCATTGAAACTTTCCATGAAAAAGGAACTATTCATTACTTAATAACCTAGTAAGGAATACAAATAGGTGATATTACTCATTTGAACGATATCACAAATTCAAAATAAATTGATGATATCAACGATTCAAATGGTTGATACACTGTATTACCTATTCAATTCGCATAGGTAATATCACCTATTTAAAGGTGATATCACCTATTCGAAAAGGTGATACCTCTTATTAAAATTCAATGCTGAAATATGAAGATAACGAACAGTAATCAAGCTTAAAAGTCCATTAAAACAATACAAATTTGGAGCAGAGCAAAGACGTCGACGGACCTTTAAAAACATCCGAGGTGGGATCAGATGCCATAGAGGAGTAAGCATCTCCTGTCGACAGGTCACACCCGCCGTATGCTCCTTGTCATGATCGGGCGAACGGAAAAATCTTCATATGCACGTAACAATGCTAAATTGCTACATAAATAAATAAGGGAAGTTGACGACAGAAAAGTTTAAGTCATCCCGTTTATCATAACGTTTTATTGTAAGGTAACCATCAACGTCTTTTTCTAGTAAATATTCAAGTATGAAACAGATGTGTCAGATTCTGTGGTATCTTTTATTTCGAGTCAAAAGGGATATAATATCGAATCAATGTAGGAGTGAAAATGAACATTGTTAATTGATAAAACGTCGTTGATATATATCTAGATGTTGAATTTAAGGCAACGACAAGAGACTTCTATTGAGCGATATCACCTCTTTAAATGGGTTCACTGATATTATCTATTCAAATAGGTGATATCACTTAATTGCAATAAATACCAGGAAACTTACGGTAAATGCCACTACTACGTCACTTCCTGCGTGCACAAATTCTTCGTGAAGAGCTTTGACGACCTCTGGATGTTCTAAAACTACTTCCGGAATAAATGCTCCGGCTTGTAAATAGCCTCGCCTCTCTAGTTCTAACAAATAGCCCTCGGCTACTATGATGTCTTGGCCACTCTTCAGACGTTCTCTTAACCCTACTCGGAGGCAAATGGAAAACATACAAGTCACAAAATAAACCGGCATTTAAGAAATTTATACACTGTAATATATAGAAACGAAGAGCAGCAGCATAGCAACTCAATAACTATGAATAAAACTTGTTGAATTCTTGTGAAAAACATTCTATCTTCTTGCTTTGTTATCTTAATTTTAATCTTTAAATTATGTGCTGTATATGATCTATTCAAATATTTAAAAATGTCAATATTTACAAAAGAAGGGAAAGAACGAGGTACATTTATTAATTTAAAAAAAGCAACACAATAAAGGCAGCGAACAATTGAACAATCTTTTGAAACAGAGGTTATTTTAAAGGATCAGAATGCAATTTTAAATATCAATGATTATCAGCACAAACTTTATTCCATACCATACTTATCACATTGTTAGAAATTTGTACTGCACAGTGAAATATCAGAGAATGTTATTTACTTAATCAACTGAATTTTACATGAATGCACTCCTTTCCGAACGTACTGACTATGAAATGATATTATATGATATAAGGATTTATTTGCATTTAAGCATCAAATAAAAGTGGCCAAACTTAAAATATTTTTCACAGTAGAATTTTTACCTTCCACAGCCATTTTAAATCTGATCCGTTGCACTCAATATCCCAGTACGGGTTCCCGTGAATGTCAAGATTTATGTAATACTTATCAATGCACGTATAATCAGGTGATGTCTAGAAATTTTAAATTATGTATGATTTATGAGTATACAAAATGATAAGTTATATTAGGCCAAGAATAAAAAATGATTTGTTTTATGTACCCGACTGACCCATCAAATTTGCCCCTACTGAATCAATTTATTTCAGTACTTTATTATTATTATTATTATTATTATTATTATTATTATTATTATATTATATATATATATATATATATATATATATATATATATATATATATATATATATATATATATATATATATATATATATATATATATATATATATATATATATATATATATATATATATATATATATATATATATATATATATATATATATATTTTTTTTTCTCTCTCTCTGGGAAAAAACATAATTATATTGTCCGACTTGCTTTTAAACATAAGGTTCTGTGATTTTCATAACATTTATGGTTGTGTTAGAAAATTCCAAAAATTAAAAAAATAAAAACATACCTTACTATCCACCTTGAAAAATATGAGTGGGAGTACATCAAACAAACAAAAAATAATGATAGCCTTAATATTTATCAACTTACAGAATGTTTTTTTTTAAAGAAGCATAGACTATGTATAGTAATTATGTTTAAAAACTAATTCTTTTTAAAGAAAAAATTCTCATTTTTTTTATAACATTGCATAATGTATCGTATATTGCACAATATTATTTTGGTTAACAATTGAAAGATCTCATAAATCATCTTTTTATTGGAAGACCTTGAAGATAATACATGATACAGACAAAGAATACTCTGGCCATCTTTAAAAAATTGTTTGGTTGCCCTCTCCCGACCGCCTGGCTAAAAAGGGCCCGGCTTAAAACTATTTTTTAACCTCCAGGAAGCAAATATTTTGTTTATGCATTCAGGAAAATAGATTTTGAAAATTTAGCATTGATGTTGAAATTTTCTAGGGAAAAAAATTTTGTCACCTATACCTAACGACCCGATTTTTTTTTTACCCTGCGTCGGGGGAGGGCAAACAAACATTATTTTAAAGTTGGCCTCATCTGTTGAATGAGAGAGCACGCTTTACTAGACAACATGTATGTCATATGAAATCTGTTAAAAATCGGTTTGTTCCCATTTAGCCTTAACTGAAAAATTTGCTATAATTTGGTATTATCAAATTCCCATTTCACCTTAGAACTTTTTAAAAACAGTCTGATTTACTGCATATTTACCTTTAGTGTATATTGAACTGTATATTTGCATACATTTTCGTATCTGCAGAACTGTAGCGATATGGTTTTATATTTTAGTGTTTGACCATAATGCTACAGGTCCCGTAATAGAAATAAGGTGCAATTAACTGCGCAAGATTTTCTGCGCACTGTTGGGGAGAATTTCTTCACTTTCCAGCATTGGTCAATCAACTACCTTTCACTCCCTAATTCTAGATACATTTTCTAATCAACTGTGTATTTAAACCACCACCCAACCCTTTATAGTCGTCTCTACAGACCATTAAACTTGCTTGTTTTGATTTTTGTTGGATGGCAGAAAGTTTTGGAACATATCACTAATGAAATCAGTGCACTGTTCATCCACATGTGTCACAAAATAAACTAAAAAGCAGTTATTACCGATTATCTTTGATTTTTTTTGTTGGATGGCAGGAAGTTTTGGAACATATCACTTATGAAATGAGTGCACTGTTCATCCACATGTGTCACAAAATAAACTAAAAAGCAGTTATTACCGATTATCTTTGATTTTTTGTTGGATGGCAGAAAGTTTTGGAACATATCACTAATGAAATGAGTGCACTGTTCATCCACATGTGTCACAAAATAAACTAAAAAGTAGTTATTACCGATTATCTTTGATTTTTTGTTGGATGGCAGAAAGTTTGGAACATATCACTAATGAAATGAGTGCACTGTTCATCCATATGTGTCACAAAATAAACTAAAAAGCAGTTATTACCGATTATCTTTGATTTTTTGTTGGATGGCAGGAAGTTTTGGAACATATCACTAATGAAATGAGTGCACTGTTCATCCACATGTGTCACAAAATAAACTAAAAAGCAGTTATTACCGATTATCTTTGATTTTTTTGTTGGATGGCAGAAAGTTTTGGAACATATCACTAATGAAATTAGTGCACTGTTCATCCACATGTGTCACAAAAAAAAACTAAAATGGTAAAAAGCAGTTATTACCGATAATCTTTGATTTTTTGTTGGATGGCAGAAAGTTTTGGAACATATCACTAATGAAATTAGTGCATTGTTCATCCACATGTGTCACAAAATAAACTAAAAAGCAGTTATTACCGATTATCTTTGATTTTTTTGTTGGATGGCAGAAAGTTTTGGAACATATCACTTATGAAATTAGTGCACTGTTCATCCACCTGTGTAACAAAAAAAAAACTAAAAAGCAGTTATTACCGATTATCTTTGATTTTTTGTTGGATGGCAGGAAGTTTTGGAACATATCACTAATGAAGTTAGTGCACTGTTCATCCACATGTGTAACAAAATAAACTAAAAAGCAGTTACTACCGATTATCTTTGATTTTTTGTTGGATGGCAGAAACTTTTGGAACATATCACTAATGAAATGAGTGCACTGTTCATCCACATGTGTAACAAAATAAACTAAAAAGCAGTTATTACCGATTATCTTTGATTTTTTGTTGGATGGCAGGAAGTTTTGGAACATATCACTAATGAAATGAGTGCACTGTTCATCCACATGTGTCACAAAATAAACTAAAAAGCAGTTATTACCGATTATCTTTGATTTTTTGTTGGATGGCGGAAAGTTTTGGAACATATCACTTATGAAATTAGTGCATTGTTCATCCACATGTGTCACAAAATAAACCAAAAAGCAGTTATTACCGATTATCTTTGATTTTTTGTTGGATGGCAGAAAGTTTTGGAACATATCACTAATGAAATCAGTGCACTGTTCATCCACATGTGTCACAAAATAAACTAAAAAGTAGTTATTACCGATTATCTTTGATTTTTTGTTGGATGGCAGGAAGTTTTGGAACATATCACTTATGAAATGAGTGCACTGTTCATCCACATGTGTCACAAAATAAACTAAAAAGCAGTCATTACCGATTATCTTTGATTTTCTGTTGGATGGCAGAATGTTTTGGAACATATCACTAATGAAATTAGTGCATTGTTCATCCACATGTGTCACAAAATAAACTAAAAAGCAGTTATTACCGATTATCTTTGAGGCTAGAATCAGGTGCCATAGAGGAGGAAGGGTGTGTTCCCGTTTTGCACACATTTGATAATTAGGTATAGAACAATGGGTGTGAAATATGTTTTGATAAAATTATAGTCTGCTTCCTGCTTAGGATTTACTTGAATTTACCTGTATTTTACCTATGTATTCTAAAAAATAATAAATGTTTATGAATATTTATTGAGAAAGGGAATATTTATTAAATAAATGTTTTTGAATATTTATTGAAAAGGGAATATTTATTAAATGTATATGAATATTTATTGGGGAAAAGGGGAATTTATTGAATATTTCATTAAATATTGATAATTATTTTTAGAAAAATAACTGGATTACTTCAAAATTAAAAAATCGGTCAAATCCTCCGTGGGCTCTTTGTCTTGATCGGGTAAACGGAGTAATCCATAGACAAATCAGTTTGAAAATAATAGCCTAATTATTTTTATCAAAATATCAGTCAACATCAGTATAATGAAAGGTTGTATTTACAATCAAGGTCATTGTTACGACCATAGAATTTGCAAAATGTTGACTGTAAACGATATCGCTGATACTCTTATATTATCAATATTTGTCAGTAGCTTGCCTTGTTTTTGCGTGTGTGTGTTTCGAATCAACTTGAAAAGAAAAACACCATCTTCTGGTGATAATAGTATATTGCAACATAAATAATGGTAGTTGACGATAGAAAAGTCATCACGCTCATCTTAAAGTTTAGTTGTTAGATTGCCATCAATGTCTCGAGCTCTATTATAAAGTCCAAATAAGAAAATTTGTGTCAGACTCTCTGGTGTCCTTTTTGAATACAACGGGATATATTGAATCAACGTATGAATGAAAATAAATATTATTATATTAATAGAAATCCGTTGATATGTCTTCATCGTTGAACTCATAAGGGCTAATCAATTGTTTTATTATACCGATATAAGTTAAGACAATTTTTTGTAGGCTTAATTACTAAAATAATCAATTGTGTATTAGACCTAATCATCTTTCAATTAATCGATTTTATTTTATGTGTGAGGATTCACTTCATCAAAATCTCCCGTTATATCTTTTGTGACATGATTTCAACATTTCATTATCAAAATTAACACATGAA